AGGGCATGCCACTGATTTGATCGCTTGGTACTATTCAACATGGCGGCATCTGATCTAACGATGTAAAGTTCAACACGCTTTTGTGCTGAATTGTATAACATGTAATGGAACGCAGGTTAGACAGCCTGCGAAAAAAACAGTATTTTGTTGTTTGATACGGTATATTTTGCGCTCCTTGGAACCCGGAAGCCCATTACAAACCCATCATGTCATAGTTCCTAATAAACTGATTAAACAATTGCTTGTGCTCCATAGCACACAAGGCGTGCCCCTATTCAACAGAATATTACTGCGACATTTTCCTACACAATAAAGTTTACTGTAACACATCTACAATATTGGCTTAACCCACAACGCGTGGGATATTCCACCACATGTGACCGCTTGGGGAGGGAGGGGGGGGGGGGGGGGGCTCAATGCAGAGTCCTGGTTTCCGTCCAAGTAGCTCAGGATCTAATTGTCTGATCATAACAATTCGGATGGAAACGGAAATCTGGTCGACTTCATCCGGGGACCATTAAGTAGCAGCCGTCATATGTTTGAGGGTGCCGTTATTTGCACAAAATACCTGAAAATGTCCAATCTTTGAACAACTTGAGGGCCTCTAGCACCCACAACATTAATTGCAAAGTTCCGTACGTGCCACCGACACGGGGACGCGTTCTTGTGCTCCCGAACCATACTGATATGCCACCAAAAGTCAAAACTAGGTCATGTGAGGTCAAGGTCATGCCGAGTTCATGTTAGGTCAGCTCATCGGACATAGCTTTACGTTCTTTCAGCTCACGCGTTAGCTATACGTGACTGACGTGACAGCATGGCAGTTACCCTCATCTACCACAAGTGGGGGTAACAGATCACGTTGGTTCAACACCAGTAAACACCTCTGATGATGATTGGGTTTGACCTTGTATAGTTCACTGTCCTAGATTGGAAAACATCGCCCGTGGAATCAATCTCTGGTGACGTCATAAGGCGGTGACCTGATCTTATATCAAAGGCTCCCTTACCTTCAGATGTGTTGGGCTGACCACTTCTCAAGCACTCTAAATGTGGTGCATCTGCCTAGTGTGGTTCGAAGACACTACCGAAATCCGGAGCGTGTGTTCCTTTAACCCCACCAAGCGCTCGCACGAAAAATTTCACATGATGTTCGGCATGTTTACGTTGGTCATGTGAACAGTTGAAAAGGACACCTCAGTGCAGTCAATGAGTGCATTTACAATAAATTAAGAAGCTTATGCTATCACGGATATAGGCGCATACTTATTTATTAACAATCATCTAAAGATCAATATTAAGTTATTAGCTATAAAAAGCGATTTTTCCTCAATTATTCAATTTGTTCTGCTGACCACCGACTTCAGTTCATCGCGGCGAAAAGACATTCAGTTAAGAGGATAGACCAAAGCTGTGCTTACGACTCCTTATGCGTCTGCAAACCACTTTGATATGTTTTACTTTAAAAGATGTATAAAAATTTACACCACTGTTTTGGCGGCGCATTTATAGCAGTTTTATTGTCTGGCACTAATAAACTGTCTGCTTATTTCAACGAATTATCTTCATGAATACAAATCTGAAGCATTTACAATGATATTGGCAGCTGACATATTACGATGTCTGTTTTAGAAAGGGATAATATGTTTCCGGTGTTTTGCAATTTCATCATTTGTGTTATCAGCCATACGCAGGTGCTTTCCCTCTTTAGAACTACAGACGACAAGATCACCAGTAGAGCAGTTCACCGCCGAGAAGAGCCTTGGATCCTTCTCCTGTCATGCACTGTATCTGTCCTTGTCTAATGTTGCTTGCTATATATTTTCTTCTCTAGTTCTGTTCTGTCCTTATTGCGCTGGCAGCTGCTCTCTTTGTTGTCAGCCTTGACTGCACCGTTTCTCTTGTTTACTTTGTCAAGGTAAAGCTCATAACAGCGCTGCAGCTGACAAGAGAAATTGAATGCCAGTAATGTCAGTTCCTTGCAGTAGTTGGCTTCGGGCACAATGGGGCGGTGGTGTCCGCTGTTTTGCAGGATTCTGTCCAAAGCCGGACAGATCGCAATGCTGAGACTAAGTGAACAATGCAGACCTTTGCCGAGCAAACACATCTTATCCCTCTTAGAGTTTTGTTTCTCGGTCGCTGCTTTAAAATGTGAAGGCTAACGTTGAGAATTGCATTGGCTTCCACTTGCAGTTTCCATTTCTCAGTCATTCGCGTTACAGGTATCTGTGAAATTGACGTACGCAAATTAATTTGCTAGGCTCGGAGAGCCTGGCATTTTCTCACTGGTTCACCTGGACAAAATAACAGCTTTGCAAAAATCGGGTTCGGGCAACCTTGCCGCTGTTTGCCCATCTTTGCTGAGTGGATAAACCTGAGGCGTTTTTGATGCTTGCGTACATATGAAGGGCCATCTTAATCTATCTCGCAGCAGTGCCGAATGGCCTTTTTTCTCCGGGTAATTTTGTTGCCCTCAAATCCCCTTCGGTAAAATCTACAGATCAAATTGCGGGGTTATGTTTGCTCGCACCTTCACAAGACAGTCTAAAGTGAAGCGTCACTTGCGTAAATTGCCTACTACTACATCATCCACGTCCATGTACATGCTAATGCACGCCTGGGAGCGCTGGCGCCCGCCCGTGGTCGGGACACCACCGCCCGCTGCCTGTTATGTGTAGCCACAAGGTGACGCGTGTTGTGGCGTCCTGTCCGCGTCTCATGTCTCCCTGTGTGGGCCCGCCTCGCGACCACCTCACGTGACCCCTCTGTGACCTGGACCATCTGTTTACGCAGTCGATTCTGGAGTGCGTTCGAGCCGCGGTAAGTCCTGTCCGCCCGCCGCCCCGAATGCTGTCCGTCCCGGTCTGCCCAGCTCCTGTCCCCGCTCTCCGCCGCCTGTCGGCGCAGCCGCTGTAGCCGGCGCGGTCTCGGGTCTCGAGTCCAGCGGCGCGCCGCCCCGCTCCTCTCGGGTGGCGCTGCCGCCGAGCCCCGGCCTCGAGATCGCAGGTCAAAGGCTCGGAGTTTTTGCAGTTGGGAGCGGCGCGTGAGCGCTGTGTCAGTTATGTTGTCAGTTATGTCACCTCTGATGTGACGGAGTTCGCTGGCCTCGAGACCTGAAGTCCGTCTGCGGCTCGTTTATCCGGTTCGTACGGATCGAAGCATCCACTCATTCTTTACATTCTTGTACGTGCTGTATCAGTGATATGTTTATGCTTGACAGAGATGTCGGTTTGTGATGAATTCAGGGCTAACTCTCATGTTTTTGCCAGGTTTCATGGGCTCATTGCTAAAGTGCTTATTTGTGAAAGCATAATGCCTGCAAGTACGGAAAAATGCTGTTTGACTGATGGCTGCAACTAATTGAGCTATCGTGCTTTTTTGCATTTTCCTTGATCAATGATTTGGTTCCATCTGTTGTGAAGTCATTTACGGTATGCAATGCGGATCATCAGAAGGTGTTGGGTCAATGAAATAGTTAGAGTCTACTTTTGCACGATATCAACTATATTTCTTGTCAAAGGTGCATTTCTTGATGACTCGCTGTATGTCCATTAAGTTGGAAAAATTTAGCTGTTCGATAGCAGAATATATGACGCCCTCAAACTTTGAGATCTGTACACCAATGTTGTACGCCCAGCTTAGCTCCAGCTGGCGTATGTCACAGTGTTAACGGCGACCTGGCTTTCTAGGCGCGTCTCGGTCATTCGCGGCCGCCTGGTGTCCTCGCAAGGCCTGGCATCGCCGGCGTCCGTGTCAGTGTCAACAGGGACACCAGGTTCGGCCTGACACTCAGCCGGAAGGACGGCTGGTGAGTATCCGCGCTCGTGGTGAGCTCAAACTCACCGCGGCAGGAGCGGGCGCGCGCTGGGTCGGACGAACGCTCTCACCCTTTTGATGTTTGTGTGATAACAGTCGGGATTCGGGAAGATGGATGGTAATAACGTATGAGGGGTGCGGTGAATCTCGGAGATACGGAGCATTGTGAATGCTGTGGCATAACAGTACTATTACAAGCAATTCCACATCTGGTCTCGCGATAGCATTGTCAGGCCGTTAAAGACGCGCGTTTCAATTTGAAAACGCATTGCGACGCGTAGGAAATGAGATAACTTCGAACGTAACTGCATAAGTTTTCCTGCGCCAACGAGAATGCAATCTCCCTTCTGATGCATGTGAATGCTGCGTTATCTTCGGGGCCAGCTTGAACTCATTTCTCGGAATTATCATCTTTATGACGAGTCTGTTGTCCCATCGCACAGCAAGTCACATGCATCTTATCGTTCATCTAGAACTAGAGTGGCTGATTAATGGTCGTCCGTTGCCTGGCTCGGTCGTTTGTTCTCATAATTCACTGGGTGCGGACAGGCATACAGCTGAAGTTCGGCCGGACGACTACTAACGTGTCAGTTGTGTACCATCGCGGGCAGATTGTCTGCGTGTTTGTCATAGCAGATCTGGGTTAGATGTGTCACAAGTTTAGCCATTTAAATGTGATGGTAACATAGTACATAAATCAGTGGTCATACGTACCTACCACCAGCACACCATAATCAAGAATGTCTCTGGACAGTTGGCGAGCGCAACCTAGAAGTGACAACGAGGCAGCTCAAGCAATCAACGCTTTGCTCGCTTCAAGCTTCGCTCTGGTCGTTGACTCGCGCGTGATGCCGGGGAAACGTGTCGTTTCAGAGATAGCCCAAACGTCGGCCAAACACTAGCCGCTCCATGACCCCTTCGACCCGTGGATTGCCCCCAAACAGCGTCCTCTTGAGCTCGTCTGCCGGCGCGGCGGCTGGCTCTGGGTGGTGCGAAAGAGTTTGACGTGCGCCGCCTCGCTGTCGGGGCCGTGCATTATTCAGCGCCGCTCTCCACGTCCGAGAATATTTGAATAGCTGGGCTCGAGTCGGCGGCCAGGACGCGCAGGGCCCGCCATCTTATTGTCTCGGTCGGAACTACGTGGCTCTGGAAAGTTTAAAAGCCCCCGGCGGTACACGAAACTCTACTCGAACATGTCTGAAACTTGGTTTTGAGCTCACATCCGGTCAGGGCGACTCGGGAGGCCGCAGTTTTGCCCCGTGCTTCTGGAGCGGTGCGGCCAGTGCGTGAGGCCAGGCTCGGACGTGAGGCCAGTGCGACTGCCCGCGGCTCCTGCCCCGGGCAGGCGAGCTGCCCATTACGCAGGCGAGCTTGGACGCAGCGAATTGTAATGCGCTGCCCGATATCACCATGCTCAATTCGTAGTTCGTTGCGCCGTCTGTTAATGCGGTCGGGTTGGAGGTTTGACTGCATGGTCGTCATTGCGGCATCGACCTGCTTTGCTGAAGGCCCATTAATCAAACGTTCAACGGAATCTGGACTGAAACGATACGTCAAATTACCAATCACGCGGCCTGATATTTAAGCCTCGGTTGAAGCGCTTGGAGCCGGATTGGTGTCTCAAGGGGATTGGAACTCTTTTGATGGATGGTTGCCTTTGTATATACCGCTAGACGTCTCAGAAATTACCGCCCTTCATTTGACATTTCCCGAAAGCGTGGTTGGAAAACTATTTTCCTGAAGTCAAGTTTCAAATTTCCTGAGAACCGGCTCAGCTCAGAGGGTAGGCGACAACATTTCGCCCATTTCCCTGTAGAAGAACGGAGTGTGGCTAGTGAGCACAGCATCGCCCTTTGTAACTGGGTAGCCTGTGGCGTGGCGTCATCGATTTGTCGACGCTGCCTTATCTGGTCGTCTAAAAAGTGAATAGAGAAAGTAGGAGCGAAACAGCCGGAAGATGTTGCATTCACGACATCCACTCCCAGGACTTTACGCTGGTTACTGCCGACCTAAGATCAGATGTAAAGCCTTCGGGAGAGATTCGTGCGAATTTTTCTGGAAAATTATGGAAAACCTGGCATGTTGGCAGCGCCATTGTTGCACTTCAATTTAGGTAACCGCTTAATTGACGAAAGGTTCAGTTGTGTACAAGCTGATGTTCATTAACTCTATGAGGCTGATTGTGGGGCCATGGTAAAAATGTAAAGTAGCTCACTTCCATGATGTGAGTCCATGAGCTCAGGGCAGAGGACATTCGCCCACTGCATCAACGAGTCGCCTTCCCTGAGTAAGCTCTCTGCCATCTAGTCGTCGTTGCCGTCGTCGTCGTCGAACAGTCCAGGTCGTGTTCACGATGAAACGCAAATGGTGACAAAGTCGAAAATAAGAAGGCGTTTGGTCTACTGGCGCTCATGTGTTGGCAATCCCGGTTAGCAACCAACTGAAAGCAGGCAGGACTCCGTGTCTGGCCGCCGCGGGAAAGGTCACTTGTTGTTTCCGGTCCAGCTACCTTACTGTCCGCAGCTTAACCTGGACTGACTCATAAGCTGCTCAGTGAACTTACGTCTTGTCCACTTAACTCCAGACTTTATACAGTTCTACGCAGGACATCTTGAATCATTCCCTTTGCGAATACAAAAGAAGTGTAGTGAGGCCGAATCAACGATGTTGTCCGTGACCATCGAAATCAGCCGCAAAAAATGTGCTTGCATTTTGTTTTTATTATTTTTATTCATGCCCGCCAGCCCAGAATGCTTGTTGGCTGATGGAATGTTTTAATGACGCCTGATCTTACTTAATGCTCGGATCATCGTGTGGGCTGATGTTAGCGCATTAGCTAGATTGACGACTGACTGGTCTTCACGTTTGCATTGTCACATTTTTTGATACCGAAATCCGGGTAAAATAAACTTTAAGCTGGTAAATTAATTTCCGACTCGGATAATACAAACATTATGCAGCTGGTGTAAATTTCAAGTCACGGCCGCTGAAGCATCGTTGACAAAATTAGGCACCGGCTTTCTTTATCGGTGTTCATCGATAGTGATCGGCAGTTTTCTTGAGCGTCTGCGGCCTCGTGGTCTAGGGAAAGATTCCAGGCTAACGTTCAGCAGCTTGGGTACGGGTCCCAGAACTAGCGCTTGTGTACGACAGGCGGAGGAACCAGTTTGAGCCGACCGGCCAGATCAGCTAGCAACTGGCCACAGGGATCGGCCTGGGGCGAGTCGGCCGCGTCGTAGCGTTGCACGCCGCGCGCATAACCATCCGCAGCTCCGTCTGGCTAAAGGCCGGAGACGTTGTTACTGATGGCCTGGAAGGCGGGAGGCTGTTGGCTGAGATCCGTTGACACAGACTTAATTAGGCCCGGTTGATTTGAGCGGCCCACAGCACACCTCCAGGCACTTATAGCTAGGATTCAGGGTGATTGAAGAGCGGATAGACTACATGGAGCATTGGTATCCGACACCCCGGCACAGCGTGTCAACAGCAAGTTCTGGTTTAGAAGTACCTGGAACCCAACACTACCGCTGGAACCATTTAAAATCAATCAGCGAAGTTCCCAGCCTGAACTTCAATGTTGCTTCATGTTGTTTCACCCCGCTGGTGAGCATCTGCCGTCCTCGGCGGGCCCCAAAAGATCCGGGAGCGCGCCTCTCCTCCCCGCCGTCGCAACGCGTCCCGGCCCTGGTCGTGGCCGCCGCAGACGTCCGTCTGGGCCGGCAGGTTCGACTTCATGGTGAACGGCGGCGGCGCGGTGAACCTGCAGTTCCAGCGGGCGCCGTTCCGGCCGATGACCCGCGCTGTGGCCGCCGCCTGGAACCAGCTGGTGGTGCTCGAACCCATCACCATGCTGCTGGACACGGAGCCGGCGGCGACGGAGCCGGCGCCGGCCGCCGCCTGCGCCCGCCACCAGCCGCACCTGCTCCGGCCGGTCATCGTCAACACGTGGCAGCCCGACCTGGCCACCGACGCCGCCGAGACTGTGGCTGTGGTGACCGAGACTCAGGTCAGTCGGACGACCCTGGGATAGTTGTCACGTGGGCTGGCGTCAGAAGGGAGGTCGCGAGGGCTCGAGTCAGTTGGGACGCTTCAGCTGATAAAACAAACGGCTGCATTAGTCATCAGCAAACAGCAAATCCCTGTCTGCAACGGGCCTCTCGTGTCTAGACATGAAGTATCTCATCAATATATTTATAAATCCTAGTGTCTTTCCGTAACCCCTCCCCCATATTAAAGTGTTTCGGGAAATCTCCTCTGGAGTTGTCGCAGCCCATGTTCGGTGATAGGTTTGCCAGCACCTGTGCTAGTTAGGACCCCTAGTGTAGCAGATTACCGGATATTAAGCTGGTGACATTCGATCGCCCACCCGGCGACCCTCAGTCCGCCTGTCGTGTTCACCCGGGACGGGAAGACGGGCTGGCGACCTTCTGTCTGCCTACCGTGTTCGCTCCGGGGCGGAAGGACGGGAGGGCGGGCTTGCGACTCTGTCCGCCTGCTGTGTTCCCCGGGGCGGGAGGGTGGGCCGGCAACCCTCAGTCCGCCTGCCGTGTTCGCTCCGGGGCGGGTGGACGGGAGGGTGGGCCGGAGACCCTCTGTGCCCCCGCTGTGTTTGCTCCGGGGCGGGTGGACGGGAGGGTGGGCCGGTGACCCTCTGTCCCCTGCCGTGTTTGCTCCGGGGCGAGTGGACGGGAGGGTGGGCCGGGGACCCCCTGTCCCCCTGCCGTGTTTGCTCCGGGGCGGGTGGACGGGAGGGTGGGCCGGTGACCCTCTGTCCCCTGCCGTGTTTGCTCCGGGGCGGGTGGACGGGAAGGTGGGCCGGTGACCTTCTGTCCCCTGCCGTTTTCGCCCCGGGGCGGGTGGACGGGAGGGTGGGCCGGTGACCCTCGGCCTGCCTGCCGTTTTCGCCCAGGGCCGGTGGACGGGAGGGTGGGCCGGTGACCCTCGGCCCGCCTGCCGTTTTCGCCCCGGGGCGGGTGGACGGGCAGGGCAGGCGATTCTTTGTCCGGCTGCCGCGTTCCACGCCGTAACCCCAAAGACCGGGTCACGGCCGCCAGCGCCGGCGTCGGGTCGTCCGGTGAGCTCTTGGGCGTCTCTATCGGTCTCCAGACGGCCCGTGTCGCCTCATCCGCCGGTGAAGTGGATCGGGTCACCCGTGTAGATCGAGGGGGCTTGGGGTCTCGGGCTATCTAACGACACTGCGAGGAGGTCGTAATTTTTAACGGCCTGCGGGAGCCTGGTAGGAGATAAGTGTTACCTGAACCGGCTTAAGACGTCCGGCTTTAAGAAAAAGGAAAGCAAACAAAAATATGTTTGATAGGCACGATGCCATGCACCACACTCATGCAGTGCAAGATCAACCCACATAACATAGATGCAGTTGGCCAGGCATCGGTGGTGTCCGCTTGTCTTGACATCTTGACATTAGACATCTTGATGTTCACCTGATGTCCACTTGTTCACAAAACCACTAAACTGATCTTTCCTCCGTTGGCTGTTTGTTGTATATATATATATATATATATATATATATATATATATATATATATATATTTATATATACATGCAGATCTTGGGAATGATATACTTCTGTCGGCTGAGTCAGTCGATCAGCAGCGATGTTTAGTGCCGGATGGAAAGGTTGCACCATCAGGCTGCACTGGTCCTCAGAGTACAGCGGAAGTCGGGGCTCATGACTCACTTTCCGCTCAGGCGTCCTGTAAGTCATCGAGATAATATGGAGCACCTGCCGCAGCAGCTCTTGGCGCTTGATGACGTCGTCACATGCCCGTACATATCCGAATGAAATCACCGCGACACGGCGATCACACGCCGTCTCAGCGTAGTTTTTGCATTGGCTGCGAGCGGCCGTCAGCCAGCTGACAGCGCGCTCCGAAGACGATGGCGTCCATTTCATGGTTATGCGAGCTCATTGAGCAAATCAGAAGCGGGCGGCTCGATTTAGATAGCCGTGAGCACGTACAGATGCCGGAGTTTGTGCTGCAGCAGGTGATGAGTGCAGATTTTAAGGGCGCTGCTCCAATGCAGTTGTTGCCATCAAGTAAGGACTCAGAATGTTAGCTACTGCGTCAACCGGTGCCGATTCCGTGCTCAGTTGGCATCACTTACTCACATGCTGGTGATGGTTGGATTATTTAACCGACCAATTCAACTTTTTGTCTTCTAGCGTCTTCAATGTGCAACGCCGCCGGTCGCGGGCCTGGCGTTAATTGACTGCGGTCAGGCGTGAAATAATTTAAATAAACCCACCAGCTGCTGGTCCAATTCCTGATGGCCTAAAGGCTGAAAAAGAACTATGAGCCGTTTTCATGTATGTTCTCTTTTGACTTGTCTATTCCCAGCGATCAAAATTTGACGTTGTGCTGAGCAGCTTGTGAACCGCGTTGCCGCCTTGCAAGATATTGCCGACGGCACTGTCCCGCTGAGATCGTCGAAGGTCTTGCGTCACATGTTCTTGATACAGAATACGAACTGACGAAATGACACCGATCTAAGTCGGTATAGAAAGTTGGGATCGAGCAACGCTTGCGGTTTGGGAATGATAATGTTACAAATGAAGCAGAGCAGAGCGCGAGGATACTAACCGATAATTAAATTAAAAATACTGCGGTCATTACAGGACACTTCACTACACGACAATCGCTTATGGCTTTGTCAATGCGCTTGTTCTGTAGATAGAAGAATATTCAGGCTTAAACCCTCATGATTTCGCTGTACATCACTGGGTCTCACTGGGTCATGCCGTACATCACTTGGGTCTCATAAGGTTGAAATACACGCAGTGATTTAGTATGGTGTAGTCCGTTATCAGAGTACTGCTTCCGATTCATTTGATTCAATATTTTGATTCGTATTCATGTTAAATCCAATCAAAAAATCGTCACTCTCCGCCAATATGTTCTTCAATCTAGCAAGCTAACCCAAGCCATGCAGGAGGCTCATTTTCAATCCAGATCACCGCCGTATTCCTATTACGGGGGCTGGCACCGACATTTTTTGTTTTCCGCACTGAGAGTCGCGCCAGCCCATCTTGTACGAGCGGAGCTGGCGGCGAATACCCCTATCCGGCCATCCCTGACTGTAATTATAGCTACAGTCCCTTGTTTGCTCGGGTGGATATTTGCTGACTGCAGCCACGGCGACTAATTCGGCGCAATTTGCGCGACCACAACAGGAAATTGGTTTAATTCTGCCTTCTAGAGAAACAAGATGGCTGGGAGTCAAAACCCGGCGGTGACGGTGCCCTGTGACGTTCCCGGATATGACGGATGCTTGCCTGACTCCTTCCGATGAAAACGCTCTCTTTCGTACTCTTATCTCGAAAATGAAGGGCTCATGGTCATAGTAAAATAATGCTACCACGTGTTGTATGTATTCGGACAAATTAGGTGCGCCGATGAATGACCTTTTTTGACGGTAAAGCGCCTTTCAAATCAACCAGAGCGATTTGGATGCCGACGCGTTATTCAGCGCCGAGGTCCTTCCAGCAACATAACCATGGACATGAACAACACTCTACAGCATACCAGAGCTCTGCAATCACGGCTCCCCATTAGTGATTGCGTCGGGAGCGGCGTGTCCCAGTTGCCGAAAAAGTAGGAATTTTCTGGGAGTAAAACCTTCTCTAACTGCTTATTGATATGACGCTGTTGCGTCCTTCAGTCCCGCGATACATAATTATTTATTGCGTACCTTTTAGAACCGCCAGATGATAGAACCTTGATGAGATCTTGTGCCACTTTGGTGCTGGACGGCCTTGGATCGGTACCTTAGTTTTAATGTCAGAACGTAACCCTGCCCGTAATAACGATACGTCTCCGTTTTGGAGTAAAACTCGAAAACGGAGCTTTGGGGCGCGTTGACGGCAGCTGTCCACACAGCCAACACGGTGCCGTGTCCTGTCGGGTGTCTTACGCGTACAGTGTCTCCGTACAGTGTCTCCGTGTCTCAGTGTCTTACGTGTCTCCCCACAGGTACTGCAGGAGTCGATCGAAATTCCCGGCACTGGCCTCCGCCTCGTGTACAACTCGCAGGACGCCTCGGGCTACCACTCGACGCTGTTGCTCCGGCTGACCTCCGACCCGGTGCCTGAAACGCTGATCTTGGTCCACCTCAAGGTCATCGTCGAGGGCACGGTCTTCACGAAGACGTTTGAGTCCGACCCCAACATTACCTACAGCTACTCCTGGAACAAGCGGAACGTCTACGAGCAAAAGGTTACTTCCGGGTTCACTGAACATTTCAAAGCCCAAAGAACGAGATCGTAGTGTCTTAATCACAGCAAGCTGCCCAAGAAGCGCACTCTTTCTCCCTTTCGGAACCTCTGTCCTAGCCTGATACACTGCTCCACCGCTGCAGGTGGGTTTATCCACACCCGGCCGAGCATGTTTTTCGGCGCCAATCCCATCCCCACTGCTGGCGCCGGGCGGGGCGTCTGGTGGCGCGCCACACGCGTCATCGGAGCCGCCCGCACGCCCCTTTGAAGAGCCCGTCATCCCGCGCCGCGTCGTTAGCCGTTTTTCAGCGGCGACAGGCCGGCCAGGCGCGGAGTAATCATTAGCACCTGGCCGCGGCGGCGGAGAGGGTCGTTAGCGGCGGCGGCGCGCTGGCCGCCTCCGACGTTTGCTCGAGTCACGCATCGGCGGCCGCGTGCCGCGGCCGACAAC